GTGAAAGTCTTAAAAGCAGGAAGGAATACTGTATAACATGGAACTGAGAAAGCCCAAATTTAACTGATGAAATTCACTCCAAATTCTAAACATTCTCAGTGTCAAACAAGTCATTTACACTTTACCTCCAAGATATTAGAAAAGCTAAGGGGAAAAGATACATCTTGGTCAAATGTAAAATTACTAAATTAAAATTGTAGGGTTTATAAATAGTATTTGAGGACAAATAAAATGCTTAAATTTTGAGTGTTCACGGTGCTATAAACATTAGAAGATAGACATGCCAAATACTTCATGCAAGTCCTTCAGGTTCATTTCACATAGGGACCAATTATACCCTTTAAAGGTCTCCTATGTTTTAGCTTCAAGAAATATGTTCATTCTTCCTGAGAAAAGAACCTTTGCCTTTTATAGCATGCAATACTTTTTGCAACCAGTGCTGATCTTTAGAAAAGTTGCGATGAGACATATAGTGTGAAAGCTAATTAGTTCTTTTAATTCTTGATAATGGGAACTTCATGTTTTCTTAAAAAGCACATATGTTACCAACATCTCAAAAGCTGAAGAGTCCTTTGTAATTAGAATATTATTTTCATGTGTTAGAACTCTGATTTGTGAAAAAGTTGCAAATCAGGGGAAAATACCTAACAAAGACATAATAAACATTAGTTTACTTTAAAATAATGCAACTACACATTTTAGAATGTAAATCAGTTTCTCAGACTTATATGCATGTTCTTTTCAAACTACACTGACTGACAATTATATTTCAGAAAACTTTATAATATACCAAGTTCAAGCACACCATGAGTCACTTGGGAACTTACACATTTTTCAGGTTTTAAAAGTCAGTGTAGACAGAGATATGAAAATACAAAAATTTAACCACTCTATTAACAGAGAAAATATTTCCAGAAAGATCAATAGGGCATAACTTCGATGCAGTGTAACAAGTAGACAAAACAAAAGTCAGAAGACAGATAACAGAATAACAAATTGCATCTATATGTGAAAGATTTATCCTTACATTATAACATACCTAATGCATAATATAATGCATAAATCATTACGTCTAACAATAAAAATAGCAACCAATTTCATATTTGCACTACTCACTTTTCAAGTACCACATAAAAATATTTTGTATCACTCTGCTGCTAAATCACAGCCAATTTCTATCTAATTCATCTATAACAAAATATTTACCAATTCCCTACTAGTCTTATTAGAAATTGTCAAAGTGTTTATTATATATCTAAATTTACTCTCCTAATAGATATATTATAAACTAGTTCAAGAACACTTCCCTCCGAGGCCAAGCTACAAAACTTGGAACTCACTGAAGGACTTATGGGTGAACTTGTTTATCTGTTGTTTTTTATTGTTTTGGGGGGTTTTAGGGGGAGGGGAGGTCTTGGTTTTTCCATTATGGTTATTATGTTATAAGCACTATGTCACATTTTTTCATACATGAATGATATAGTAAACTGAATTCTAAAGATAGAGTCTTTCATTTAATCTTCACCCTTCACGTACAGGTTAGAGTATATTTTTTAGTAAAAAACACAACAGATTATTTTTATATTTAAATTTCTTATTAGAAAAATACTAAAATTTATTTAAATTGTTTAAAGAACACAACTCCTACAGAAATATTAAATTACATGAGAGATATTGATAATCCAGCATATCTTCAAAACAAAAATGACAGCAATTAACTACCTGGATAATGAAGAATTCCAATTTTATTCACCCTTCCCCCACAATACACACGGGTGAGCCAAGGCAAAAACTTTACCGGCAACTATTCAGAAACCATCTTTGGGAGTATTCTACAGAGAATTCCAGTTTCTGTCTCTTGAACGTGGAACAAGCCCTGACCCAAGATAGTACTATTTAAAAAGTATGATTCCAGCAAGTCTAACAAAAGAATTTCTAATTTTGCTGTTTCTTTTGAAAAGTGAAATATTTCAAATTTCTGACTGTAGTTTACAAGCTGTTGTAAGACTCTTACTTGCTACAATTATCAAAAGAGCTCCAATCAACTTTTTGAATGTTTACAAACTAAAAAAATTACCCAGCTGCAAGCTGTTAATATCACTCTTTAAACCAGAACATGTTATACGAATTAAGAGAAATTTTTAAACTCTTGAAAATTGTATTAACAATGACGCCAGAGAACACATGCCAACCTGACATAAATGTAGTTGTTTCTTCAAAAACTGCACAATCGCAGTTTGGGAAAAAGCAGCAACCTTAGAAATAGGTGAGGTCCATACCTCAAAACTAGCATTTCAAGCATATAGGTTTATGAGGAATTCCTGCCACTTGAGACAAAATGGATTGACCTTGAAGGCATTATGCTAAGTGAAATAAGTCTGGACAAAGATAACTACTGTATGATCTCACTTAGCTGTGAAACCTTTAAAAAAAAAATCAGACTTGTGGTTACCAGAAGTGGAGGATGGAGGGAGGGAGAATTGGAGGAAGGTGGTCAAAAGGTAGAAACATCCAGTTATACAATGAATAAGTACTAGGGATGTAATGTACAACATGATGAATATAGCCAACACAGCTGTACGATGAAGAGGAAAGTTAAGAGGGTAAATCCCAAGAGTTCTATCACAAGGAGAACATTTTGTGCTTGCTTTTTTTCTTTTCTTTTTATTGCACCTATATGAGAAGATGGATGCTACCTAAACCTAGTGTAGTAATCATTTCACAATACATAAAAATCACACCAGCATGCTATATGCCTTAAACCTATACAGTGATGTATGTCAATTATGTCTCAGTAACTCTGGAAAAAAGATTATAGTTTTACACGTTAGCTTTGTATCACATTTAAGCCATTAGAAAGTTACAAACCTTAAACAAAGTATTTGTCTGTGGTCTATTTTCCAAATGTGTATTCATAATTAAACAAAAGCACCTCAGTGTACCTTATATTAAAAGCTTTATCATAAAAGTCTAAGTTCCATATCTTGGTAATAGTTATTTACATACTTTATAATCCTCAAAATTCTTGTCACTGTCACATGGAAAAACCTCAACACAATACATTCAAACTATAAATGTAAACGTACTGACTGTTACAAATTGTACACAATAGCTAAGTCTCTTCAAATACAAAGTAACAGCTATAAGGGCTATGGCATGGAAGGGTGAAGTCTGGAGATTAGTACACTAATAAACTCAAGTATGTAAAACCAAGGCAATTTTGGTTCAGTGTTGATGTTACATTCAGATGCAAAACACTTTGTTACACAAGTGTACCCTAGGATTCTGCAAAACATAACAAAAAATAAGTTTTAGATACAATAATCTCTGAGTAGCTACTAGAAGCTGCTGACATTTAAGAAATGTACAAAAGTGTGCAAGTGTAAACTTATAGACTGCTGGTAGTTATGATGGAGGCAAATACTATACTGTCTACATCTGCAACCCACTTTTGCTTCAGCATCCCCAGAGACTTAGAAAACATTTCTTTGGGTAGGTTGCAAAACATTGCTTCCTCTTTTATTCTCATCACCCCCATTATGATACAAAGCAACAGATAGAAAATCAAATCAGCAACTGTAAGAGCTGTAAGCTCAAAAACACACTCACACACAAATTCCGAATCAGTATTCATTCCACCTGCTTGTAAATCCACACTAACACAATAACACAAATCCGCTGCTGAAGGCGGGGCGGGGGGGGGAGCAATTAATGGTTTAGTGTCATTATTCTTCTACCTAGGCACGGGGCGGGGGAGGAGGATGGTACAAAACAATGGGTACTGAGAGGCTGGGGGAAAATCGTTGTGTCCTGAAGCCTCTAGCGTTGAGCTGGATGGGGGGGGGGGGGGGACAGGGGGTAGAGCACTTTTTCTCTATCCCTAAAGGCTACCGCGAAAGAGGCTGCCATCAAGCATGTCCAACTGGGCAGTCTTGGATGTCTACAACTCGCTTCACCAGGCAACACACCCAAAACCTACTTCACCACTCTTCGCCAAAGGGCGAGGAGACGAGGAGAGGAGAGCGTGGAGGGCTTTAGGGAGGGGACAAGGAAAGACCCCACCCCGTACCACTACCGCAGCGCCAGGGTCCCCGCCAACCAGTTACACGCCCTCCTGGACGCCCACGGGTCGCCCAGCAGCCTGGACCCCGTGGCTCCGGGAGCCGAGCGGAACAGGACGGTCCGCCCGACGCCCCCGGCCCTCGCCTTCGCGCCGGCTCGCCCTCGCCCGGGCGCTGTCCCGGCCGCCCGCCGGCGCCACCTCAGGCCTGGCTCCAGTCGCTGTCAGAGCCGGCCGGCTTGCTCTTGGCGCCCGGCGGCGGTCCCCGCACGGAGAGCCGGGTCCAAGGACCCAGGCCTCCCGGCGACAGCACCCAAGAAAGCCGCGGCGGCGGCGGCGCCTCCCAGGGCCCCGGCCCCTGGGGCCTCGCCCCGGCCCCGCCGGCTCGCGCCTGTCAGGGCGCTCGGGGCCTCCCCCTGCCGACAGTCAGCCCGACTGCCCGACGGGCAGGAAGGAAGGCAGAAAGAACCGACCCACGGACACCCTCCCGCCTTAGCGGCCCCGGGTTACCGTCAGGAGCCCGGACTCCGCCATCCTCCTCGCTCGCCCTCCTTCCTCCTCCTCCTCCGCCTTAGAAGCGACGCTGCCCAACCGCCGCCCCCCGCCCGCCCCTCCCCCACTCGCCCCGCCCCGCCCCGCTCGCTCCTCCACTCACTTTCGCTCCCACCGCGCCGCCCCACCCCTCCGGCGCCGGCCGATCACTTGCTAGGGAAGAAAAACAGGCGGAGCAAGAGATATCGACGCTGCCCAATCAGGATGAGGCACTGGCGCCAGCGGACGAGAGTAAGAGATTGGCTCCAGCTTTCCTCTCCCCGCCCTTTTCCTTTCCTCCGCTCCTCTGCGCCCTCTCTCCCGCCCACTGGGCGCCGCTGGCTAGCCTGGTCACAGAGTAAGCCTCCAGCTGGGTAGAGTGACAACTCTCAATCGGAAGTTACCGCTGAAGCCAAGGTAGCCATAACTGTTAATGGCACCGGGAGTTTGTTTTTTTTTTTTTCTGGCCTCGCGTCTCCCGTGTGACGTAGTTTTCCCTTCGCCCAATCCCTCCGTTGCCCGGGCAACAGTTGAGCGGTCTGGGAAGAGAATTACCTGTAAGTAGACCCGAAATGGAACCAAAGGTGACCAGACATCCCATGTTTGACAAGTTAATTAATATTCCGGATTACCTGCCTGGGATCGGGGAGAGAAGGGAGCAGGTTTCCAGGCCATTAGTTTGCTGGGACGTCTGGTCACTTACCTAGGTGGACAAGAGTTTAGGGCTCCAATAATTTCTGTTCTGCCCGGAAGTTGCGTTTGGCACTTCTGTATGGGGTCATGGCGGAAGGGTGGGGAAAGCGTGCGCTCCCCGCACCCCAGGGAGTGCCCATTCCAACTGGAGTAGCAAAGTGAGGTGAGTGCCCCTCGGTCGGCCTCGACCAGTGGTGCAGGCCTGGGCTGGACGGTCCCTGGAAGACTGAGAGTCGCGGAGGCGAGCGGGAATCAAAGCCGCTTCCGCTGGAAGGAGCTTTTCTTTCCGGGCTGGCCAGACGGCGGCCCGCCCTCTTTCCACCCCTCTGAGGCTCCCTGTCGGGCGAGGCTGCTGTACAGGCACCCCTCGCCCTGCTGCGGCCCGCCGAGACCCGAGGGGCCTGGGCACCGGCTGCGGGCGGAGAACCTAACTCCGATTTTGAGTTCCTGACCACGCCCCCACAAGTTCCTATTAAGTACTTTCAATCCCTGACTTTTGGAGAACTATGAGAACATCATTTTCCGTTCTCAACTATAAAGGAAAAGGATGATCCCCCACCACTGCAGCAGCACCTCTCAGCCTTACTTCCCTGCCTCCGTCAAGTTCTGAATTTTCTCCCTCCCTTCTCTCTTGAGGGTTTGTCAGCATTGACTGTAGTTCTGTCCTGATCCTGCATGTCTACAGTTTATTAAAAACTTAGTGTTTGTGAATATCTATAAAAATACAGAATTACTTTTATATGGCTTGTAAATACAAGAGTGTCACACACTATCCCTTGTAATTCGTTCTGTAGGCTTGAATCAAAACTTGTCAGTCAATTTGGTAATACCAGGTTGGATGCTTAAAGCTGCAGAGGAAAAAGACCAGGAGAACTTTCAGATAAATTGAACTTGTTTAGCAAACCTACCTTCCTAATTTCTACTTCCTTACTACTCATATTCCAGCCAAAATGAACTACTTGTTTCTTCTAAGGTTAATCACTGAAGCACCAGCCTTTTGTGATTCCTTCGAGATATATTTCCAGATTCTCCCCAGCAGGAAGTAATTTTCTCTGAGCTTACCTAGCACTTTTTGTATCTCTTATGTGACAGACTATTTTATATAACAGCTGCTTATGTTCTTAGCTTCACCATTGTGCTATGTCTAAATAGAATGGTATCAGATTCATCCACCTATTATTTTATCCTGCACATAATATTTTGGTAAGTATTGAAAGATTGAATTTTGAGATGTCTCCTGGATGCCCAAGACACTACCAGCAAAGTGTTATGGAACTTCAGTTGATCAGAAATTCAGCATTGTCTTTACTACTCAGCTTTTTCTTAGGCTTCCCCTCTGAAGATTTCAAACATGATCTATTCCCCCAATTTTTTTATTAAAAGAAATATTCAAACATTTTAAAAGTTGAAAGAATACAATAAACATTTATATATGCTTCACCTGGGTCCACCAGTTAACATTTTGCCATATTTGTTTCATCCCTTCTCACACACTTTTTCATTGTCATTGAATCATTTAGAAATGGGTTGCAGACGCCTATTGTTAAGTAGACACTCCTAAATTTCCAGTCTGTATTTCCTAAGAATTATAAAGTTCTGCAAAACACATCATTATTACAACTGAGGAAATTAATAATTCTGTAATATTTAAAACCTAGTCTATGTAAATTTTCTCATTTGACCCAAGAATATCTTTATATCTTCTCCACCCTCCTGGCCAAAAAAAAAAAAAAAAAAGAAAAGAAAAACAGAATCCAGTCAAGGTTTCTGTACTGTGTTTAGATATTGTAACTCTTCGTCCTTGATGTAGAATAGTTGTTCCCCCATTCTTTGTTTTCCCTTGTTACATTGGCATTTTGAAGAGTTCAGACCAGGGTCTTTGTCTCCTTTTTTTCTTATTTCTTATAACTCTGAAGTTGGTCTAAAGACTTGATTAGATTCTATTTAACATTTTTTGCATTACCTCACAGTAGTGATACTTTAAGCCTTCTCAAATGCAGCTACATCTACCCATGGATTTGAATCCATTCCATTTTTCAGCACACTCAATCTTCTATGACATCTTTCAAAGAGTTTAGCATTTAATCTTGTTAGCATAGAGTATGTGTTAGTGCCTTGGACTGGCAACATAGACTGCTTACCTTTAATAATGTGTTGCTGCTACTTTGCCTACACGTAGAGCTAATGCAATGCAATCTGCAGCAAAGTACTGATGTCAGCATAGTTTCATGAGTTTCGACTCATGGCACTCAGAGGACTGTTGATGAAAAGATGTGTGAGCTCTGCAGTTCAAATACATGTGAATCTTGATGTTATCAAAGCAAATACCAAGGCAACTGCTGGCCATCTGGCCACATTCCAATTTAGGCAATGTTACTTTTCCCCTTGAAATTTTCTTGCTAGTCCTAGTTGGTCCTGGTGTTCTTGTGATAGCTTTTTGGTAACATTCATCAGAGCCATTTAAAAACTACAAAATCAAAATTGTACTTAACACTTAGTACATTAGGAAAATTCTCTGCCCAATGGATAGCAAAGTGCTTGCACAATTTGCTTCATAATCAGAAGAGAAAGACTTCCGAAACTGCCACACTCAGTACTCCTCATATCCTAGACTTATATTTGATCATGAAAGATAAGCGAAAGGAAGAAAATACACTTAAGGGAGCAGAAGGAAATGCTCTGGGAGGGCAGAAATTGAAAGGTAAGTGATGCACTCCATCAGTCACTTCTTTTGTGTGGAAGGAAATTTGCTCGTGTGGGACTATGAAATGAATTTAAGTTGACTGCAGATTCAAGTAAGGCAACTAAGACCACAGAATTTAGAATCAGACCTGGGCTTCAGGAACAGGGCTATTCACTAGCTGGTGACTTCGGACAGTTGACTCATTCTATTTATCCTCTATTAAATGGACCCATAAAATCCTTTAGGATTGTTGAACAGAATGACTCAACTATATATAACTATATATAAAGTGCTTTACCAGGTGTATAGCTCATGGTATGTAGTCACTGTGTGGTAGATATTACCAATAACTTCTTAGACCAATTTGGGCACATAGTAGGGATGAAATATTTATTGAGTGAGAATGAATCTAAGATAGTGTTCTCCAAGTTTCATGTGGGGAACCAAATAAAATAGAGATTCTGATTCTGAGAGTCTCCAGAACAATCTATACTTTTTAAATAATTGTCCAGAGAATTTTGATGCAGGTGATCTAAAGATCAGTCCCCTTCCTTGCATACTGTTGAAATAGATATCTCAGATGCTGAGAATGTGAAAAAGTTCTTCAGATACTTTTTAAAAAGGTTAATAGCTAACAGTTTTAGGAACACTTTCTAATACTGGATTTTAAAATAGCAAAAATTATTAGAAAAAGACATTTTGCATGAGTAGGATGTTGTGTCATTTTCTACTTGCCGAGTAGTAGTGTCTGCTACTGGAGTATACAAAAACCAATGCCATCATCCAAGTTCACCCAGGAAGAACAGTTCCTGTTCTTCAGCCTCGGCACATTCCAGAAGCTAGACACCACACATTTTATTCACATGAGTCTGGATTAATTAGCCAAACGGAGCATGTTGCAACATTTTTCTACCAGGAGATGCCCAGTAGCAAAACAGAATAGAATCTACTATGGTTTCCAACTACATGACATATGACGTTATTGGCATCTCCGGATGAACATTATCAATCCAAATTAGGCACTCTGCTAGCATGTGGGTAGCCACTTCAGTGAAAGTGAGTGTTACTACACTGTGTCTGCTGAAAAATACTTTCTTTTTGAGCTCCCTCTTTTACCTTTTTCTCATGTTAATTTACACTCAGAAATCTGTGTTTGAAAATTCATCTAGTAATTAACCACAAATCTTGGATAACAAAAGATTTTAAAATTTTTGCTATTTTTCCCACCACTCCTTTTACTCCCATCCACATGACCTATACTGGCCAGATTGAATTTACTTAAAAGGAACTTATTAAATATTCATACAAGAAAAGTATCTTTTTCCTTTACATGAACAGTATTTCTTCTGGTGTCTTCTTTGGTTCCTAGATTGTATTTTTGCTTCTGAATACCCATTAATTATAAAATAGGACAGGGCATACAACATGTTGTAGTGGCTCTGCATTTTACTGAAGTTGCAATCAAGTGCCTGCCGTGGCTGGGCAGGTAAGGGAAAGGGAAACAACACACTGGAGTAGAAACTGGAGAACTCCCCATGCTCATCTAAGTGGGGCATCACTTCCCGGCCGTGGCCAAATGTTCCCGTGTGGGAATACGGGCCTGGTGGTGTCATACTTGTAAGAAGATCTGAAATGTGGACTTTATGTGAAATCTGATTTTTAAACATGGCAGCACATGCTCTTGAAGAGTAAATTAAGTAGAATAGATTTGAATAGGAAAACACCTTCATGCTTATAGGTACCATGGTGTTGATGAGGATTCAAAGTTGTTTTAGAGTTAAAAGGTACTTAATGGGAAATCTAGAACAAATTCTTTAATATAGTGATATAAAAATAAGAGCTGGGATAATAAATGTCACACTACATTTCTAAGCACTTTCACATCTGCTTTTCACTTGAACTTTGAAACCCAGCACAGATACCAAACATTTTTTGTGAGAAAATAAAACTTTTGATTGGTTAAGAAATGTATTCAAGATGACACAGTTAGCAGTAGAGCCAGAATACAAGTTGTAGCCCAATTTAAATAAAGTATAAATGTGATGATTAGAAAAAAATGAAACTCCAGTAGAAGTTTGGTTTTAAATCATACATTGGATGTTACTGTCACAGCTTATTTAAAATACTTGGAACTCTAGAACACTGAAGCATTTAAATTCAAACTTTAAAATGGGGTTTTGTACAGTTAGGATAAGCTGATAAGATTTAGATAAATGAATGGATGTATAAAAAATTATGATGAAGAATTAATGGCAGGTTAGGAGTGGTAGGAACACAGGAGGATAACCATGGACACACTGACCCACAGAGTGGCTCCTCGGGGCACCTAGGAAAGGCTACAAGTGGATTAAGGAAACTAATACAACCTAGGAGGACAGTTTTTTGGGGGGTTTTTTGTTTGTTTTTTAGGAGGACAGTTTTTACAGCATCCAAATACTGTCCTGAGCATTT